AAAAAAAAAAAAAAAAACAGTGTGTGAGGAAGATGCTGGACCCAAAATTCCGCAGCCAACGAGCATCTTTTTTTTGCATTCTGGAACCTCCTAAGCCTGAACCTCAAAATCCGACCACACATACCATGTAACTCCACACCACATGACACTGTAAGTAAATAGGGGAGGTAGCATTCAGGCTTCTACATATCCCCTTTCACATCCCCGCATGACCCCGCGAAGGGAGGCCCCTGAGCCGAAAAGCCGAAGACCTCAACCCCGCCTACACCCCCAAGCCCTAAAGTTTAGGGTTTAGNNAGGGTTTTGGGTTTAGGGTAAACCCCAAAGCCTCACACCCTAAATCCTAGGCCCCAAGACCCCTGAAAGTGGGACCCAAAAATCCCTTGAAAGGGGGACCCAAAACACCTAAAAAGGAGGACCCCAAAATCCCTTACAAGTGCCTTAGAAGGGGACCCAAAGCATTTGAAAAGGGGGACACCAAAAAACCTCTTAAAAGAGCGACCCCTGCCTTGGCTCCGCCGGCAGCGACCATGGCGTCTCCACAAGCCGTGCAAGCACCAAAGGTCCCCACCGAAGGCCAGCATGTTTGGTTGGCAACCTTGAACGGACTCTTTGTAAAGAGTGGTTAGATAAGGTGTTATGTACGTGGTTCCATAGGAATATTGTTTAAGGCTTAGGGCTTGGGATTGAGGGTTTTGGGTTTTGGGGTTTGGGATTTGTGGCTCATGGTTTGAGGTTAAGGTTCGGGGTCTGGAGCTTAGGTTAAAATGGAAGCATTGCCCAAAACAAATGCCATGCTGGGAGAATAGGTAAACCTATCCCAACATCTCTGGCTGGCAGTTCGTTCAAATGGTTAACATGGGGACAAAAACCCGCCAGTTTCGAATGATAGGGAAACCTACTATGAACCTCAATATATTATAAGCCTTGGTCTGGGACCTCAACAAAGAGGTACCCCTAATTTTTGGAAACCCCCAAATACTTTTATGATGGAGTATCGGCCTACTCGTGCACGATAAGAATCTAGACTGCGTTTTGGTGCTGTCCAGCTAGCAAACTTCAAGCAATAAAGGGGACCTGGATGTAAAAGTATAGGTTAGGTACAAGGTCTAGGCGTCGCCCTGAAATTCTTCGGCCATGCCAGATACGCACAACGTAGGTTTGCAAAATGACTGACCAAGAGAGACTTTGTCCAGAAAGCCGTCGCAAAGAAAGGCTCTCCGGCAACCAAACAACCCTGCAAATTTTCCGCTGGGCCACAGTGCGCAGGCACGTGTCCACAACGTGCCACACGCAGGAATGGCTCGCTGCTGACATCCCAGGTGCCTCCCTGATGCCACACTTCTGCAAAGGCAAATGAAAGTCTCTCGGGCCATACAGCATGCCCAGAAACAGCGGTCATGTAGCGAATGCAAAGCCCAGAATACCGCAAAAATTGAAGAAGGAAACGTTCGAAGTTCAGCGGTGTGGCGGCTGATGAGGTGGTGCGAGCCCTGGCAAATTGATTTACTTCTTCCAGCTTCTTAAAGGAGTCCAAGATGTCCACGAAACTTTCCATGACGGAGGCCCCTTCCCTCTCCATTATGAAGTACCTGTCGTTCACCCCAGAATACTCATTGGAATCCAAACACCAAACCGTTCTTTCATTGCAGCACGTGCTCGCTTCCAAGTGGAACAAACTGGGATGCTCGGCTTTCCAGACGTGATCCATTCGAGTGAAAGCAACATACCTGCAGTTGCATCAAGAATGATAAGCACTGGAAGATAGCAGCAGCCCTCAAACTCGATCTACTTACCATGCAACGCACGAAACATGTCCTAAAATCAGGAGAGATGCTTGTACTGGAAACCCCTCGTATCCTCAATTCCACGCAATGCTTGCACACAGCGAGACCACTGCCTTACTGGTGTTAGAGGGACTGTTGCTATGGGTGAGGGGAAGCATGGTTTAGGTATCCATTCCTCCATTCCCAAACCCTAAACCCTGAATCCTGAACTCTGACTAATGCTTATTTACTGGGTCTCAATTTGGAAAGAGGGGATATAGTATATGTGGGTTATATAGGGAGTATATGCCCTTATTCCCTACTAAGAACCAATAAGTTTCGTGGATTCCATTCATTCCTTACTAATCCCTTCCCCCTAATATTAAACCCCACCACCCCAAAAAATTAGATACTCCCAATATATCATAATATACGGAAAATGGGGAAATATTCAACATTCCGGGCATGGGGAGCGGTTTAATGTTAGGCGGAGGGGTTAACCACCCACAAGCTGCTGATTCATCGGCTGGTTCTTGAAAGGCCTTCCTCGAGTTCCGCGGCCCTGCAACAGGTACGGCAGGTACGACCTGAACCACACAGGAGGCACCACCCCTAAACCCTAAATTCCCAAAACGGGGGATTCAAAGAAGACTGTCTCACAGCTTGGTAAGGATAACTTAAATCGAGGGTCATCTCTGTGCCTATTGCAGGTCCCTGACTGACCCTGAGCCAGCCCAACCCTTAAGCCCTAAACCTTTCAATGATAAATGTGCCAGGCTCAAAAGCTATGACTGCCGGCCTAATACCTCTACTTCTTAAATCTGTGCATTCGTTCCGTGCTTCAATAACTAAGCACCACCAAAATTCTGCCTGGGTGGGGATTCATGAAGAAAATGCCGCTATATACAAGGGGGCTGCAATCTCCTCGAACACCCGCGGTTTAGGGTTTAGGGTTTAGGGTTTAGGGTTTAGGGTTTAGGGTTTAGGGTTGCGCGCTGACGCGCCCTCCCGCCCTTCCCCGCCCCCCGCTCGCCTCCTTCCCCGTGCCCTGTTGTGTGGCAGGGTTTGGGCGAATGAGAACTGATGGAAAGAAAAATAGGAAATCTATAAGGAATTATTCGAAAAAATGGGAAGTAATCAGAACGAATCTTACGGAATTGCTAAGAGACTTTAGACGAGGAAGATCACGAGACTATATAGGAGATTGAAATATATTGAATTGTAGACCCCTGATTAATAAGCCCCCTCCCCTTAATAGGGAATATGATAGGGATCCTAATATACGAGGGGGTTCATTACTCACGGGTCTACATTATGAACGACAGAGAACCACCATCCCACCCGCTCTGTGGCGTGGTGCTGGGGCTCGGGGATACCATGGAGAGTGGGGAGGGTTTACGGTTTGGGGGTTAGGGGTTTAGGGTTTCGGGTTTACGGTTTAGGGTTTTAGGTCTTAGGGTTTCGGGTTTCGGGTTTAGGGTTTCGGGTTTAGGGTTTCGAGTTTAGGGTTTAGGCTTTGGGGGGGCAGAGAGCACGGCACAGTTTACAAAATACGGGGACCCCAATATAGAGCCCCACATATTCTAACCCTGATTTCAGCACCCCCAAAACCCTCAACCCGGAACCCTAGACGCTAAACTAATGTTGGACATATCCCCAGCATCCCGTGAAGCCCCTTTGTTTTTCAGAGATCCACCCCATGAAGTTTCCATGTTCTTTTCCGTTATCCCTACATAAGCCCTATATAGCCCCTATATAATTCCTGTAGTCCCTATGTAACCCTTGATGGTGTTTTCCATTTTCTTTACCATTATGGCTGCCTGTTCTCTGCGTGCCCTCTCCGCAGCCGGGAGAGCCAGCCTGCTTCATTGAGGGTTCAAGGATTGAGGATTTAGGGTCTAGGGATTTAAGGTTTAGGGTTTAGGGATTTAAGGGTCGGGTTAGGGTTCAGGGATTTAGGGTTGGGGGTTTTGGGTAAAAATTCCCCAGGTATTGCCTCTAATATGAGATGTTCCCAAGGATCCCCGATAGGGTTTGGGGTTTAACGTTAGGGTTTTGGGATAAAATGCTCCCAAGAAATTACAGTATACCACAATGAGAATATCTTTTAAATTAGGGGGTCGGGGGGATTTCATATTGGGGGCAGGGCATTACTGGAATAAGGTATAACCCCCAGTGATGGAGAATCAAATGAAAAATGCAAAATCAAATGGAAACTACTATTTAGAATTAGTTGTTGAAGAAAAAGTTCAGGGTATAGGGTTGATGTGGGAGTGTTTCTCAAAATCGGGGAAGCCTGCGGACCCCAAAACAATATAGTCCCCCTTAAGTAGATAGAATATGGCGTGTATGGGGATCTTGTTGTAATATACCCAAAGCCATATTCGATCTACTTAAGGGGGACTATATATGGGGCGTATAAAAGGAGTATGGGGAGGAAATGACTTTGAGAAACTCCCTAACCTGTGAATTCACCCGCCATACTAGCACTACTGTAGCATGGTCCTGATATGTGTAACTCCTTTATCTTCTCCCTTTTGTATGGATGTCTGGGGTCAAGATGTTAAAGGCAGCAAAGCTGTGGATTCGCTTCTTGCGACCCTGAACCTTAAACCCTGAATTGCGAACTGGGGAATTACAGGGTTGTCAGGCTGTTGCTGAAACAGCTTCTTCAACAGTCAATAAGTAGATAACATACAAAAAGCCTTGCGACAAAGGACTTCGAAACAAAAGATAAGATCATAACCCTGAGACCTCCCAACCCCCATCGAAACTGGGCTGGCAACACAAAGAGGCACCCATTGTATACCCACTTGTTTGAGTTTCTGACCACTTCCTGGTTAAGACCGTTTGCGCAATGCAAGATGTCAAGAAGCAAGCGCAGCCCTATCAGCCTCAAATGAAAACACACGGCAACCCCAGATCTGCATGTGCTTCACATTACGAACCTCCATTGCCAGTTTGATTGTCAGTCTCCAACATGCGCACCCGTGACGAGGAGGACATGTAGTGTTGAATCCTTGGTTGAATATGCCATCCAGCCGGATTCAATGATTCCAAGCTTGTGGCTGCACACTAAGTGCAAGGATACCTTTTTCTGCGCCTTGACTGGAACTAGTCCCCGGCCAAGGTAAACATTCTGCATCTACTAGTTACTACCACAAATGTCTAGATCGAAAATGTCCGAAACGTGTGCAGTTGCTCAGAGTACTTGAAGTGTTTTCCGAAACATATTTCGTATGCGAGTGTAGGGTTTGAGGCGCGTTTGGGATGCATGGTCTAAAAGGGGTTCCTCGCAGACTCTTGTCCTTTAAACAGGGGCTAGATGGGTTCCATACTTGGTTGCACGAAGAATAAACGGTCCCGAATTGTGCCAGGAAGCTTCTCTGAAGGCACGTAACCAGGATCCTTGTCGGGGCCCAGAGGGTAAAAAGGTTTAGGTGTAGGCGTTGCGGTTGAGGTCTTAGCAATACAGAGTGCCTTTGGTTTCGTTTGGAAAGTACGAAAGGGAGAAGATCCCATCTAAACCCTTAATTATGCCCCGGGCCCCAACCCTAAACCCGATCCTTGGAAACAAACCAAAATCCATCAGCATCCAGAGGATTCAACACGAACTGGTCCAAGAGCTGGAATATCCGCGTTCCATGCAGCCTGTCTTCCAAGGAGCTTTCGGAGCAGAAAGCTGTTGACATACATTATGTGTAGTGGGGCGGTTCAAAGTTTGTTTATTTATTGCGCTGTCGGTTCCCAAGTTGCTGCTTTCCTGTACTATCAAAACGGAACATAAATTGCGCACGAATTCAAAATTTCGGCTATTTGGTCCAAGCTCCTGCGTAGTCCTTTCCAGCGGGAGGAATGAAATGCCTGGTCGCCCCTTTCAAGAACACCTGCAATGCACACGGCAGTCAGCCGACCCACTTCCTGGCCTGCCACTTGAGGTACCAGACCAGCTTGCGCGAGTAGTACCAAAACAGATCGCTGATGCACAGGCAACATGAGCCGACTTTAAGCTGTGAAATGCGGTGTCAGCAAGAACCAAATCAACTGCCGGCGCATGCGCCCGAAGATATGGGATCCCTAACCTTGCAGCCTTCATAGCCAAAATCTCGGGTTCCGGAAACAAAGCTGCAGCGCTATCTCCCAAGCAACTCTGACATCATTTCTTACAGATTGAAGCCACAAACCTGATTGTGCGGAAAAAACATGCTTCGCAACGGCAAAAATTTCGGATGCTGGGGCTCGCAAAGAGGGGATGTGTTGAAACCATTGTCTGCGCATGACTCAAACTGCCGGGAAGTCATGCTATTGGACCTCAAGCAGTCTCAAGCTGCTTTACACGGATCGCATGAGAAAGCTGACTGTGAAGCTAGTCATCTACCCTGAAGAGAAGCAGAACTTCGACACGAGGCGCCACTCCGGCATTCGGGAGTTTCCGTCTGGCAAGGGGCTGAGATCGAAGACGTGCAGATTCCCGAGATCTTCGAGAGGCAGGGTTGTTTGATTTTTCGACAAAGATTGCACTCCTCTGCTCCACAGGCGGGCCACGGACCGGGAGTCGCTGGCAACCGAGCTCCAGATCGGCAAAGATGTGGTCAAGCGGCTTTTCTACGGTCTGATGAACGGCGGGGGCAAGAAACACCTTCAGGACATTTTATTGTGGTTTGTTGTTTTCTGAGAGGTAGGAAGTTTGGAAAGCAGCCATTTTTTGATAGTTTCTCTGCTCGGCTAACCAGGACATGGCCAAAGACGTGGATGTGCGACATCCAATCATCCAGGAGTTCCAGGCCGAGCAGCGCAAGGTGTGGCGCGCAGACCAGGAGACCTGGAAGGAACTCTTCGCCAAACTGTCCAACTTCAAAGAGCACCCCAGTGGCTCTTTAAGAAATGCTTGCCGAGAAGGATGAACGAGTTTGTGTGGATGCAGGCTGTAAAGCTATCCAGAAGA